GATAATATAGGAATGGAATGGAATAGAATATAGAATAGAATAGAATAGAATAAGAACAGAATAGAATAAGAACAGAACAGAATAGAACAGAATAGAACAGAATAGAATAGAATAGAATAACAGAGTTGGAAGGGACCCTGGAGGTCTTCTAGTCCAACCCCCTGCTTAGGCAGGAAACCCTACACCACTTCAGACAAATAGTTATCCAACATCTTTTTAAAAACGTCTAATGTTGGAGCTTCCACAACTTCTGGAGGCAAGTTGTTCCACTGATTAATTGTTCTAACTGTCAAGAAATTTCTCCTTAGTTCTAAGTTGCTTCTCTCCTTGATTAGTCTCCACCCATTGATTCTTGTCCTGCCTTCAGGGGCTTTGGATGATAGCTTGACTCCCTCTTCTTTTGGGGCAGCCCCTGAGATATTGGAAGACTGCTTTCATGTCTCCCCTGGTCCTTCTTTTCATCAAACTAGCCAGGCCCAGTTCCTGCACCCGTTCTTTCTACGTTTTATCCTCCAGTCTCCTAACCGTCTCTGTTGCTCTTCTCTGCACTCTTTCCAGAGTCTCAACATCTTTTTTTACATTCTGGCAACCAAAACTGAAAGCAGTTTTCCAAATTTGCTCTTACCAAGGCCTTATAAAGTGGCATTAACATTTCAAATGACCTCGATTCTATCCCTCTGTTAATGCAGGCTAGGAATGTGTTAGGTTGTTTGGCTGGCTCCTATTTAAATGTCTATGGTCATAGTCTTGAACTTATGACCGTAATTGAGCCCGTGCCGGCTGTTAAGTGGATCATGAGGGTGATGGGACAACATTGGACAACATTCCTTGCAGATGTCATTAAACGAATCCACGGTTGTTAAACTGACCTCGTTGTCAGCAGTGGGCGATTTTGGCGGAAATTGGAAGTCGATACTGGTTTGTCGCAAAACCATTGTAAATTGTACTCGTGTGACCGCAGGAAGCCGCAAATGGTCATAAATGCAGGCCGGTGGCCACACACCCACAATGCAGTGATGTGGCAGCAGGGAGGGAAGGCTGTCAAAACTTTGAATCTGGGTCATAAGTATGGTTTTCGGGGGGGGGGGTCTATCATAATTTCAAATGGCCCCTAAGTGACCAGTGGTAAGTCAAGGACTAGATAGTTTTTCACACCTTGGAACTTTAAAATGTGTGGACTTCAACTCCCAGAATCCCCCAGCCGACCATGCTGGCTAGAGAATTCTGGGAGTTTGGAAGTCCACCGCTCTTCAAAGTTGCCCCAGGTTGAGAAACACTAGATTAACATAAGGAGCAAAACTAACCAGCTTACAAGATTGAATGCTGGCTAGGGGCGTAGTTCGCAATCCTCAAATCATGCAGGGCCCAGCGAGGAAGAGAAAAACACCAAGTTTTGTAAGACAAACCTTCAGGATTTGCTGCGCTCGTTCGGACAGTTTCACCTCATTCTCTTCCACCTAGAGTCGAAACCAACAAGAGCTTCAAATTCTGGCTTAGGGACTGAAAAATCCTGCATTTTTTCAATTCTGGTTCTTCTATTCTCCGTACTCAGGGGTGGGATTCAAATTTGGTAACAACCGGTTCTGTGGGCGTGGCTAGACAGGCGTGGTCATGTGACTGGGTGGGAGTGGCTAGATGGGCGTGGTCATGTGACTGGGTGGGAGTGGCTAGACGGGCGTGGTCATGTGACTGGGTGGGAGTGGCTTCTCTTTCTTTTTTCTTTTTGGCAGCAACCCTCCCCACTTTTGGGGGCCTTCTGGGCCTCAGAGACACCCAGCACCCCCCCGCGCTCCGTTTCTGGGCCTCCTGAGCCTCAGGGAAACCTCCTGGGCGAAGCAGTAAGACAGTGAAGGGAATCCGGGCACAGCTGATCATCGGAACAGCTGATCGTCGGGAGAGGGGGAAAAATAAATACCTTAAGGAGTGACTGGGCGGAGAAGAACGCAGTCAGCTATGTCAGGCATGCGTGCAATGTTGCCGATGCGTGATAAGGACTGACTGGGCGGGGCATGATTTGCCGGTTCTCCGAACTGTGCCAGAATCGTAACAACCGGTTCTATAGAACCGGTCTGAACCGGTAGAATCCCACCCCTGTCCCTACTTCCTTTCTGCAACCTTACAACTTCACCTCCCCGCAATGCTATGTAGAAGAAAGCGATAAAGACGGAAAAGGGCCTGAAATGCTCCAGCAGGAAAGTAGAAATGCAAAATATTAACAATAGAATGGGGTTGCGCTTGAACCCTGGAGCCTCAGTGCGGGATGGGTGCCTGCTCCTGGGTTATGAGGAAGGTCTGAAGGTGGTTTCTGTCCTTTTTCTTTTTTTTTCTGCCCGCTGTAAAGTTTTACACTTTTTTGTCCCTTGTTTTAAAAATTGCTCTGAATACCGTTAGCCGCTCAGAGTCACGGATCTGAGATAGGCAACCATTAAAAAAAAACCTACTAAATAAATTACAATCCCAAGTATTAATGTGCAGACCCAGCCTTATTGCCTGGACTGTCAAGGAGTTTGATGAGACTTTCTTTTTTTCATTAAAAAAGCCCCCTGGAATACAAGATATTTTAATAAAAACGTGGGACGAATTTCCTCAGCCATGAAAACGGCGAAAGGTTTTCCAAACCACACAAAACGATCCATGGGTAAAACCTACAAAGATGGCTGTTTTTCCTCCCTGATATTATGGGAGAGATGTGGTGTTTTTCCCAATCAGTATAAAGAGAAAGCGAACCAGTTTTGGGTAGCAGTTAAAGGCACCAGGCTAGAAACCAGGAGGCGGTGAGTTCTAGTCTCACCTTAGACATGAAAGCCGGCTGGGGTGACTTTGGGCCAGTCTCTCTCCCTCAGCCCCAGGAAGGAGGCAATGCAAACCCTTTTAAAATCCCAGCACCAAAAATACAGGCCTTGCTCGAGGCACCAAAATCCATACATAAAATAAACTTAAATTACGATTATGCATTTCCTTTGTCTAAAGCGCACTGCTAAACCAATCAGGCCCCTTTGTTTTGTACGGCCCAAACTCTCCAGCTGGGTTGCCTGTAGCCACATCAGCACTTCCTCCGGCTCTTGGCTCTTATCTAACCCGAAGTCCCTGGAAAAAAAATATATATCAAAGGAACACACTTCCCAAGAGAGAATTCACCCTCTTTTGTTTTCAAGCGACCTGCAAACCGTCACAAAAGAACGATTTTTTTTTTCCTCCTTGCTTTCCATCGGCTTAGAAAAACAGCTTTGTAATCTTGTTTTCTGTATTCATTTTTGCAAAGGAAGAAGTGGGGAAGGAAGGAGGGGTGGGTGGAGGAGGAAAACGTCCAAGGCTTTTGCAGGAATCAAGGGTCCACTTACCAGCCAAGATGCCGATCTCGGGATCGCGGCCGTGAGGACGAGGTAACTGGTTTCCGTGCTGATGCTGCCATCTGCAGTAAAGTGAAAGGAGAGGCCCTGAGTTGCTGGATCCTCTCGGAAAGCGATTCTGAAAGTAGAAGTTACTGTGGGGCCCTAGGTACTCTGCGAGCTTGGTTGTGCAGACGTTTCGTTAACCAACTAGGTAACACCATCAGTGCTACGGTAGAAGGGGGTGGGGTTTGCAAAGGAAGAGAAGGAGAAAAAAAAGATTGTGGGGTCCTTGGAACTCTCTGAACCTGGTTGTTTTCTTGCAGACATTTCATTACCCAACTAGGTAACATCGTCAATGCTAGATGGGAATGGGGTTTATTTACAAGGAGGAGGACTGTGTGGGGTCCTTGGTGTTCTCTGAGCTTGATGGTTTTCTTGGAGACATTTTATTGCCCAGTTAGGTAACATCATCAATGCTAAAAGGGAGTGTGGGTTGTTCTTGTTTAAATACAGATCACTTAACAGATAATCAAAGTTGGAAGGGACCTTATAGGTCATCTAGTCCAACCCCCCCGCTCAAGCAGGAGACCCTACACCATTTCTGACAGATAACAGTCCAGTCTCTTCTTGAAAGCCTCCAGGGATGAAGTTCCTTCTGAAGGCAACTTCTGTTCCATGGGTAGATTGTTCTCATTGTCAGAAAGTTTCTCCTTATTTCCAAGTTAAATCTCTCCTTGTTCAGTTTCCATCCATTCTTCCTTGTCTGGCCTTCGGGTGCTTTAGAAAATAGCTTGACCCCCTTCCTCCTCTCTGGGGCAGCCCCTCAAATACTGGAAGGCTGCTCTCCTGTCTCCCCTGGTCCTTTTCTTCACTAGACCAGCCATGCCCAGTTTCTGTAACCGTTCATCGTATGTTTTAGCCTCCAGTCCCCTTCTCTGTCACCATTGGTGGGAGTGGTCTTAGTGGTTCTTTGATTAAGGCATTGTTTACCCTTTGGTTGCTGGACTAGTATTAATCCTGGTGTTAATCTCTACTTACGTGGGTGTTAGTTGCAACTGGGAAATGGTGAGTATCCTAGACCAAGCTAAGTCCAAAAATGCTAGGGAATTCCTGGAAGTTTGGCACAAGACAAACCAGCCATCAACAGGCGCATAGAGATAAATGACATCTACACACCCTTCAGAAAGAGACAATCCAAAAGCTAGGAGACACCAGCACCTTTCTGGCCAGCAATCCACACCCACCTATGCAGAAATTAACATCAACAGTATCGACCCAGACCATCGAACAGCAAACAACAGGTAAGGTAAGTGAAGCGAAGGGAAAAGCAAAGTAACAAGGTAAAGTAAAAAAACAAAACAAAACTAAAGAATTGCTTAGGTGAGTTAAATGGCAGTGGGGCTTCCACCCCGGGGGTTTCTTTCTCCGCACAGAACCTTTTTCCTTGACGAGAATCTGCGACGTCAGGAAGGACTCCGAGAAGACCACGGACCCCAGGCAGCCTCTTCCGGCAAGCAGGTCAGGGATGTCGTACACAGCCATGGTTACCTGCCGCAAAGCAGGGGGAAAGTATTGTAGGGGTCAGTAAGTGGGTCGAACCAATCAAGGTCCAGAAGGCTGGGCAGGGCCCTCTCAACGGCTATGCGTTGGGGGGCGACCGTGAAATGGTTTAAATTCCACGGCTACCTTACCGTTTCCCAAAATGGGAATGGCATTCCCTTGGTAGTCCCTAAATTAGAGGGAGCAGAGTCTCAAATCTTTCCTTTGACATTTTGGGCACCAATCTTTTGGATGGTGCTCCATGATACCAAAGGAAGACGCCGGGTCAACCTCCATTGGGAAGTTTTGTCCTTCTATTTGAACCGTTACAAGAAGAAAAAAATTCTTAGTGGACAAGTTAGTTTGCCCTATTCTGGGGTTTCTTGGGTAGTTATCCCTTTGGATGGTGAAGCAATCCTCTCATTGCCCTGAGGGAACTTCCTGAGAGTCCCCTAAACCCCTAAATCCTCGGGCAGAACCGGTCTGTGCATCCTCGCTAGGTGGCCTCTTTTTCCGCAGCGCTGACAGTTTGCTGATCCAGTTCTACAGAGGGATGATGGAGTCTGTCATCTGCACCTCTATAACTGTCCAGTTTGGTTCTGCAACCCAACAGGACAGACACAGACTCCAGAGAGTAATTAGGAATGCAGAAAAAACAATAGCTACCAGCCTGCCTTCCATGGAGGACCTGTATATACTGCAGGAGTCACAAAGAGGGCGGTGAAAATACCTACAGACCCCTCTCATCCCGGACATAAACTGTTTCAACTCCTTCCCTCAAAATAATACTATAGAGCCCTGCACACCAGAACAACTAGACACAAGGGGAGTTTTTTCCCGAATGCCATCACTCTGCTAAACAAATAATTCCCCCAACACTGTTCAACTATTACAAAGTCTGCACTACTATCACTATTAATCTTTTCTCATCGCTCCTTATCACCCATCCCCTCCCACTTGTGATTGTAGGACTGTAACTTTGTCGCTTGTATCCTTACGATTTATATTGACTGTTTCCTAGTATGATTTGATGGCTTATTGTACCCTATGGCTATCATTAAGTGTTGTACCGTATGATTCTTGACTCTTGGTGAAAGTATCTTTTCTTTTATGTACACTGAGAGCATTTGCACCAAAGACAAATTCCTTGTGTGCCCAATCACACTTGGCCAATAAAGAATTCTATGCTATGCTATGTTATTCTATTCTGCATTCTATTCTATTTCTATATTCTATTCTATTTCTATATTCTATTCTATTTCTATATTCTATTCTATTTTATTCTATTCTAAGGGTGAAAAACAGTCCTAAGTCACTTTTTTCAGTGCCGTTGTAACTTCGAACAGTCATTAAACAAACTTTTGTAAGTCAAGGACTACATGTATTCAGCCTTCTTTTTAAAAGGCGGGGGCTCTAATTCAAACCTTCCCAGGGACTAGAACTTAGCTGTCTCCCATTTTGTAGTCTGGTGCCTTAACCAAAACTCTAAACTGGCTCTACTTTGAAGATGTGGTTTTCTCATTCCATTAGTGTATCTAGCTGCAATATGCATTTCATTCCTCCATTCATTCCTCCATTCATTCCTCCATTCCTTCCTCCATTCCTTCCTTCCTCCTTCCTTCCTTCCTTCCTTCCTTCTTTCCTTCCTTCCTTCCTTCCTTCCTCCATTCATTCATTCATTCATTCAATCAATCAATCAATCAATCAATCAATCAGTTTGCTGTCACAAAGTATATTGCTCAACGGCTGTTCTGAATAAGATTTTACCCCATTGCTGAATATGTTTGTGTTCTTAATATGGTTTTTACTTACAAGCTTTTTGGTACAATTCTATATGTTTGTGGCTTTTATTTTGTATTTTCCTTATTCTGCTATGTACTGTTTTTAATTGTTGTGAGCAACAAGGGAGCCACCAATGTGAGATGGGCAGTTATACAAATTGAACAAATAAATGAATAAATCTACTAGTGGAGAGTGAGAAGTCAGCTTGAATTAAAATAGATGTATTAAGAGCCACGGTGGTGCAGTGGTTAGAATGCAGTACTGCAGGCTAATTGTACTGACTGTCGGCTGCCAGCAGTTCGATCCTGACTGGCTCAAGGTTAATTCAGCCTTCCGTCTTTCCGAGGTCGGTAAAATGAGGACCCAGATTGTTGGGGGGGGGGGGCAAGAGGCTGGCTCTGCAAACCGGTTAGAGAGGGTTGTAAGGCACTGTGAAGCGGTATATAAGTCTAAGTGCTGTTGCTATCTTCCTTCCTTCCCTTCCTTCCTTCCTTCCTTCCTTCCCTCCCTCCCTCCCTCCCTCCCTCTTTCCTCTCATAATTCCCTTTCTCATTCTTTTTCCTGCTGATGCAGTGGTTAGAATGTAATATTGCAGGCTAATTCTGCCCACTGCTGGCAGTTTGATCCTGACCTGCTCCAGGTCGACTCAGCCTTCCGTCCTTCCGAGGTCGGTTAAATGAGGACCCAGATTGTTGGGGGGCAAGAGACTGACTCTGTAAACCGCTTAAAGAGGGCTGTGAAGCCCTGTGAATCAGTATATAAGTCTAAGTGCTATTGCTAACAAATGTCTCTACCTTTCCCCAAAATGAAAACATAGAAACACAGGAAAATCTCTGTTGATTTTATACAGTTTGACTTAACAATGACCATTTGAACCCCAAATGTTCAGTGAGTTTTGCCCCATTCTATGACCTTCCTTGCCACTGTTGCTAAGTGAATCGCCGCAGGGGTTAAATTAGTCACACGGCTGCTAAGGGAATCTGGCTTTTCCCCCTCGGCTTGCTCAAAGGTAAGTAATTCTGCAGCACGCAGAAAAATACTCACCGTTTTAACCAAGTACAGGCTGTCCTTGTTATCCACTGGAATAATTCTGTAGGGAGGAAAAATTAAGACTTTAGGATGCTTTCGTTGGAGCGCCAGGCAGATGGCGTGGCATGCCTCAAACCTTCAACTCCGATAACATCAGTCGGATAGAAATAAAGAAAATACAGCTTTTAGCATTGGAAAGTAGGTTTTTTTTTTTTCAAATTTCCTTACAGAGAACGAATTCTTAAATCACCCAAAAAGTCTTGGGTTTATCTAAGACATGACAGTGAGCAGTTAATAGTGTGGCTGTCAACTCATCAAATATTTCTATGGTCTTTTTTAGAGTGGCCAACAGAAAGGGAGGAGGGGAAAGGGGTTTTGAAAGAGCAGTGTGGCAGCTTGGAAATCGAAACCGCATTCCATACATAGTTTTTCAAAGATAGTAACAAGGTGACTGAAGTTTCTGCCGTGCAAAATTCTAACTGGAGAACATGATTGATGACTCTGGGCTATGGATGTGTCCCATTGGAGGATATGAATTAGGATACACCCTGGGGTGGGGGGGGAAACCAAGGTCAAGGGTGACAATGGATAATGAGCCTCAGAGTCGGCTACACCCAGGCAGTGCCGGACATCTCAACTCCCAGTAAATCCTTTGGAAGTTTGGAGATGGTCATTTCTAGTCCTGCCTTGGGCATGAAAGCCATCTTGGTGACTTTGGGCCAATCACCCGGAGACGGTGATTTCTAGTCCCAACTTAGGCACCAAAACCAGCTGGGTGACTTTGGGCCATTCACCAGGAGACGGTGAGTTCTAGTCTCGCCTTAGGTACGAAAGCTATGCCAGTTCCTCTTTCTCAGGCAAACCCACCTCACGGAGTTGTTGCCATGGGAAAAAAAAAGGAGGCAGGAGTCTTAGATAAGTTTACAGATAATAAAAACGGTGGGAATCAAAATCTAACAATCGTAACATCAAGAAGCACAACCGCAGGCCATCCCTCCGGTCAGCTTCCAAGCCAAAGGCGCTGTCTACTCGAGAGAAGGAAAGGGCTCACCTCCCATGGTTGTTCACAGCTTGAATCCAGAAATCTATCTTGGTGCTGTACGAAAGAGGAAGAATTTTTATTTTTTTTTACAAAAAGAGGGAGATAAATGAAATGCTGAAGTTAAACAGATTCTCCGGTTACACTAAACGTCCTGTTGTACGGGCCAATCTGAGGAACATCAAGGAGCCCTTGACTTACGACCACGATTGACCCCAAAGTA